TTCATTAATTTCTTTAAAGTATGAAAGTATCAGTGATGAATATTCTCAATTCTTGTCTACAAATGTACTTCACTATTTTCCTTGTTTTATGGTCACTCATCTCCTACCATGACTAGTTATTTCTAAGTGCCAGACACTATTTATGAAAAATTCTAAGAACAACTTATTGCCAAGGATAGTGTTATCTTTCTCCAGAGAGCATTTATTTTACTTCTGGCAGGAAACTAGAGAGAAGCTCTAGCAATTCAGACCATCTCAATCCTATCAGGAACACTGCGTCAGCGACTGAGATGATTAGTCCATGTTCTGCTAGTATTCCTGGGACGTGGTCCTGCAGGTTTCACAAGCCTTAACTCCATTCAATCACCCCTCCCCTACAAGTGTATCAAAGCTCTATGAAGCTTGTCAGCCCATTAGCTTCCAATTCCAGAATAGTAGCTGACCACAGTATTCAAATGACTCAAATGTTATGCTCCACGCCTGAATTTCCTTCTTCTCTCAGTTCCCAGCCCTAAAATTTTTCTTTTTTTTTTTTCCGTTAGTTTCCTGGTCTGGCTTTTGTAATTGTTCTTAGAAGAAAAGGTGGTCCAAATTATCTAATCTTACCAGTTATACATCCACTACTGTACCCAATAGCATACTTTGCATATCTGGATAGCAAGTGCTAGCAATATTGGGCTGCCCACTGGGAAACCCTGCAACAACTGACCAAGCTCAGTTTTTCATACTGATGAAGAAATCAACTATGACTGAGAAAGGCAACAGGGAGTCTTTAGGTTTTTGAACAAGAAGTATGCCTATGAAATTAAAGAGTTTTTAGAAGTAGCCTAAAAGAAAAGACTACAGAAAGGCAAACCAATTAGCAGAATACTCTACTAGTGCAGGCATGAGCCAATAATGACACGGAAAAGGAAGACAACATTGAGAATGAAAGGGTGCAGAAGCAAGAGATACCACAGTATTCCACCAACTTTGATTATCATCTAGAAATAAATAAAAGAAAAAAGGAGTCAAAAATGATGATGAAATCTCAAATCTAAGAAAGAAACGGATTTGGAGAAGGCATTTAAATTCAATCATAAATATGAGGCTATTTATAAGAAAAACAATAGACAATTAGAGGTCCTAGTCTGAGCCTTCACCAAACTTTCCATAACTATCCAGAATATTATTTACTAAACTGGAAAACCAATTTTTTCTGTATAATCATCTACTTCCATTCATTGGTTTATCAAAAAAATCAGAACTAGAAATTCAGATATTGACCTAAAGTCTGGTAGAGTGATGCCTTAAAAAAAAAAAAAAAGAAGAAATTCAGTTATTGAAGCTTTGGAAATACAGAAAAAGTTATATAAATATAGAATTTCATTACCACATGTAAAGATGAGAGGAGTTAATAAGAATGGGGGGAGGAAATAGTTGAAAAAATAGCTAAGGCAAAATATATTGTCACCATTTCAAACAATCCAATAGTAAATAAAAAAGTATAGATGTCTATGCAGTGAAATGTAGTACGTGGTAGGAAGGATAATACTGAGAGAATTGAGCCATTTATTAATTATTAACATTATTAATTTAACAACAGAAAAAACTTTACCAAGTTACTAAAGTGGTAGAAATATCATTTTTCCCAAAATGAGCTTTTTTCTTTAAAGAGGCAACAAGTTAGACTATACTACATACTACTATATAAAAATATTTCAGTCCAACAAATTAATCTTATAAAATTTCCCAAAACAGGCAGTGGGTAGGGCACCAGGCACATACACGGAGGCTGGTGGGTTCGAATCCAGCCCAGGCCAGCTAAAAGCAACAATGACAACTGCAAAAGAAAAACAGCCGGTGCCTGTAGTCCCAGCTACTTGGGAGGCTGAGGCAAGAGAATCGCTTAAGCCCAAGAGTTGGAGGTTGCTGTGAGCTGTGAGCCACGGCACTATACCCAGGACGACAGCTTGAGACTGTCTCAAAAAAAAAAAAAAAAATTCCCAAAACAGATTCCCTGGATTTTTAATAAACATCAAAAATAAATGAGAAGTATGGACCATTGTTTCATACGCTCTTCAGTCTCCCCAACAGGATATTCCTTTGGAAAGACACAAATAAGTCACTCTGACACACAAACTTTACAAACCCACAGCTATTTTAAGATGTCCTTCACAGACAGAGGCTGATGCCCTGTAGGCCCAACTCATTGATTTATTAACTCCAACACTAAATTTCGAATTACATGCCAAATGCAACTTATCCCACACTCTGGTTTTGGCTCATAACCACAATATTTCATTATGAAAACCAGAGCTACAAACAAAATGTTTCACTCAAATAAATTGGTTCTGGCTCACAAGGCCAGGAATATACTCTTGTTCTGTCCCCCCAATGAAAACTGCCTTATGATCTCTATAAAGTAAGAGATTACACCAGTCCACTGACTTATAATACTTAATTAATAAAATGACTGTGTCCAATGAACATTTAGATTAGTGGTCTTTTTAAAAAGGCTTAAAAAGCTAATTATGCTATTCTTTCCATTGGTATGTCATATTTAGTTACTGACCATTTACTCAACAAACATTTGCTGAGTTGTAATTGTGCCAGACACTAAGGATAAAAAGACAAATCAGAGTCTCTGCCCTCAAGGGAGGGCCTGTGAAGCAGTTAAGACATCCAAGCTGAAACAGTAACACAATCACTGCCGTCACAGAGGCGTTACTAAGACTTATGGTCCGAAATGCCAACACTCTAATCTATTCTATTTTGTTTTGAGAGGACTGCAGAGGTTCCAGAAAGGCTTTACATAGACTGACACAAGTGGTTTAAGCCTGAGAAAAGAATAAAGGTGTATTTGCTAGCCAAGAAGCAGAAGAAAAAAAATTTCATAACTTAATATGTACAAGGGACCAATCTACTTCATTTTAATGTGGAGAAAATTGACAAAATAACATTGCTGTGTTTAATCAAGAGCACACACACAACTGCTGACTGGCATAGTAAGAGCAGAACCCCTAGACCCCAGGGCTTTAACCACTCCACCCTGCTATTTAATAATAATCCTCTAAAAGGGATCATTTTGAAACAAGGTTTTTTTTTTGTTTTTTGTTTTTTGTTTTGAGACAGAGACTTAAGCTGGCCCCCTGGGCAGAGTACCGTGGCATCACAGCTCACAGCAACCTCCAACTCCTGGGCTCAAGCAAGTCTCCTGCCTCCCCCTCCCAAGCAGCTGGGACCAGAGGCGCCTGCCACAATGCCTGGCTATTTTTTAGTTGCAGCCATCATTGTTGTTTGGCAGGCCTGGGCTGGATTCGAACCCATCACCTTAGGTGTATGTGGCTGGCACCTTAGCCACCTGAGCCACAGGCGCCAAGCCTAAAACAAGATTTTTACTAAGACTATATGGCTGAGCTCAAAGGGAGACATGTATTGATTCTACAAATAAACTAAATTCCTTAGTTTCACATCACATATTCCCCTTTAAAATACTAACATTGAAAAAGAGATATAACCCTTTATGTTTTAATCTTTAGTAAGAATCATTGATAAGAATCATATTAACATAAAACTAAAAATTAGTTTCACAATAGGCTGTATTAGCAATCAGGGAAAATAAACGTTCTGATAACGTTTATTTGTAAAACTGCTGGTAGTTTATCTGTATAACTGCTGGTAGTACAACTTGATACAATATGAATTTAGTAAATGATATCACTTATAAGACTGATTATTCATTTTAACACTGTTAATAATAGCCAGAGACTGGAAGCAACTTAAATATTCATCATTCAAAAACTGGTTAAATAAATTAAACATCAGTAAAGTAAAGCAGAGCAACCAGCTGAAACTAGCATTTTTATAAAACATGTGAGAGACAATGACCTTGACTAGGATACCAGCAGGTAAAGAGAAGTAGACAGAGTCCGGCAAGAGAAATAGGATTTGGCAATAAAGACTCAGATGAAAATTCAGGTAGAAAGTAGCGGCAGGTATTATTAGAAAGCAAATCATTCAAGGTTATAATGCATAGACCTTGGGTTTCATCTACAATTTATACACAACACTTAGGCACTAAATATATTTGTTAATGAATAAAGATTTTGTATTTACTATCAAAAAGGTAAAATAATTTATACTAAACAACAGGAAATGTATGTATTTGACAATGATAAAACATAGCCCTGGCTACAGTTTAAAAAAAAAAAAAAAGGAAAAATAAAGCTCCTTAGTACAACTAACATACCTCAGCCTACAAAGTATATAAGGAACAATATCCAAGCCCAAAGAATACCCCATGACTTGCTAGAAACTGTAGTTATTTTGAAATTGTTAAACTGTGTCCTAATTGTGGTATAGACCACATTAATCTATTGCTGAGTGATTTTTCTGAACATCTTGTTATTTCTACACCAAAATTAAACTGGGATCTGGCCATGGCATAAAGATAAGACCTGACCTTCAAGCACTGGAAGCTTTACAGAGTGAGATGAAGAGGAACAGGGATCCAAGCCAAGTGTTCCCTTTTACACAGAATATTTTCTGCAAACTGACTCAGATTTTGGAGTTGGAGTAATGCCCATCTACAAGAGCTTTATCAATAAAGTACTGACGTCAGTTGTTTATATTGGCAAGTATTAGAAATTAGTAGGCAAATTACTTTTCAAAGATAGTAACACAAATTATGGAATAAAGTTAAAATAGACCAATATTTTTATAGTGTAGAAGTTACCAAATATTAGAAGTTAACGGTAAAAAATAAAGTTTTACACTTAAAGAAATGTTGACATGATAATAAATGGAATCAGATAAGGACCAAAATATATGCAATCTAAATATTTCCACAATTTATCCCAAATTTTCTTAGCTGTGTAAGGATTAGATAATTTGGTCAACATTCATCTAGAAATGTTTATAAATTTATACCATAATCAAATTAACAGACTTCCAAATGTATATACATTAGACAGGCTAATTCCAACCAGTCAGAAAAATCAATACGATCAGTTCCTTACCTGCAGCTCCTTTGAGACTCTCTCTAAGTGATTAGTTATCTTTTTAATCAGATCACTATACATCTGTTCCGAGTGCTGCTGGCATACACATTTATATACACAACTGTAAAAAAAAAACAAAACAAACAAAAATCCCACAAAAACCAAATTACTGATGAAAAACTTTACCCGGCCTCAGGTTAAAGCACACTTTAATATTACAGCCACTGATCAAATTATTAATTCAGACCTTAAAAAAGTGACCACTCGCAATTTTTTTTTTTTTTTTTTGAGACAGAGTCTCAAGCTGTTGCCCTGGGTAGAGTGCAGTGACATCATAGCTCACAGCAACCTCCATCTCAGACTCAAGCAATCCTCTTGCCTCAGTTTTTCTATTTTTAGTAGAGACAGAGGTCTTGCTTTTGCTTAGGCTGGTCTCAAACTCGTGAGCTCAAACAATCTACCTGCTTTGACCTTCAAGGATAACAGGCGTGAGCCACTGCGCCAGGCTCAATCACAACTTTTTTCTTTCTCTTTTTTTGAGACAGAGTCTCACTATGTTGCCCAGGGTAGAGTGCCATGGCATCACAGCTCATAGCAACCTCAAATTTCTGGGCTTAAGCAATTCTCTTGCCTCAGCCTCCTAGTAGCTGAGACTGCAGGCACCTGCCACAATGCCCAGCTATTTTTTATTGCAGTTGGCCCCCTTTGGGTTCAAACCCACCAGCCTTGGTATACTATGGCTGGCACCCCATAATCACTGTGCTACAGGCACCAAGCCCAATCACAACTTTTAAATAAAAATTTACCCTCCCCCAATCAGTGTTTGAATGGAAAAGATACTATTACCAGCAGCCAATAATCTCTTTTGAGTACTCTATTACAAATTTAATCAGTACTAGATAAGCGAACATCAAATGATAAACTAGGCTCTGAATGTAACTACTTATAAATCAGGTCCTCTGTTACTCTCTTTCTTTAATGAATGTCAAAAGAAGAGAGTGTAATCAGAAGAGAAGAAGTTTCTAACTCAGAGAAATGCCTACAATATAACGCCTCTGTATAGCAGCTGTATGAACAGCAGTTATCACTTTCTCCTCTGTCTCTGTGCTAATCTCTTATCTATCCTACCCCAGTTCCCAATTTGCTGCTTCCATTTACCAGGAACTGGGAAACAAAATAATCAATGAGTATTAGAACTGTGTGTCAATAAACATCAACCAATCAAACTAGGGTTTCCCTGTGACACTGAAAACCCATATTTTTACACCAGATACTTTGGTCTTTTCTTGCTTTTTTTCACTGACCTCCACCATTTATGCATTATATACGCCAGAGGTCACTGGCTAAGGTGAAGTCTAAGAAAGTACGGTTTCGAATCTATCTTAACCACTTTTTAATCAAAAATTATAAATAAAACCTCCAATCCTTAAGTGTGGAATGTATACTTACAGAGCCTTGCCTCATGTATTATATATTACATGGTTTCATGCTGTGTAGTACCCTGAAGCTCAATATACCCTTTCAAACCCAAGCAAATTAAATCTTGACTTACCTGTATATCTGTTCATAGGATATGGGGATATAGTCACCAGGACTCTGGGTTAAAAGTTGATCTATGGCACCGTCCAATTTTGGCCAGTATGTGCTCTTATAATCTTCAATAGTTATAACATTCATTACTAAAATAAAAAATAAAATAAATTACTATGTGGCACAGGTAAACACAAAATAGCAATTTTGCTCTTTTAAACTTCTTTCACTTACTCTTACGATTTTGCCTAGACACTCCATCACCTAACTATTCTATTTCAATTCAAAAAAAAGCAACCTGGTTAGGAATGTTAAGTAGCCATTAATCATTAGGGTTTTTTTGTTTTGGTTTTTTTTTTTTTTTTTTTTGAGACAGAGTCTCACTATATTGCCCTTGATAGAGTACCGTGGCATCACAGCTCACAGCAACCTCCAACTCCTGGACTTAAGCGATTCTCTTGCCTCAGCCTCCCAAGTAGCTGGGACTATAGGTGCCCTCCACAACGCCTAGCTATTTTTTAATTGTAGTTGCCATTGCTGTTTGGCAGGCCCAGGCTGGGTTCGAACCCACCAGCTTGGGTGTATATGCCTGGCACCCTAGCCACTGAGCTACAGGTGTCAAGCCTTAATCATGAGTATTAAAGGAATTACTATGAATCTGTTTCCTCCCTGGTTTTCTGTAAGTTTCTGTCATCAGTGGATCAATCTCAAATATGCTCTGACCCTCAAACATACATTGTCAATCATGTGACAAAATGGGTTATCAGTGAGCCACAATGATGTTCTGGAAAAAATATGAACACGAACCATCAATCTTTATAAACATCCCTGGGAAACTCTACCTAGGGAAAGCACTGTGCCAATTAAGCTCCAAATGCTACAGTCACAAAAGGTTGATTGAAAATGTGCTGCATGGACAGTGCCACCAGTGCCCCTCAGATATACTACCACTCTGACTCAGGCTCTTACTCTATCATACAGGATAAGCCCAAAAGAAAACAGTCAATGACCTGGGAGCCTTCTACTGAAGCAGTGATTTTCAACCAGTGTGCCATGAGAGAATCTTAGGTGTGCTGTGAAGAAAAAAAAAAAAAATTTTTTTTTTTTTTTTGAGACACTCTGTCACCTTGGGTAGAGTGCTGTGGTGTCACAGCCCACAGTAACCTCAAAATCCTGGGTCCAAGCAATCCTCTTGCCTCAGCCTCCTGAGCTGGGACTACAGGCATCTGCCATAACACTCAGCTGATGTTTCTATTTTTAGTAGAGACAGGGTCTCACTCTTGCTCAGGCTGGTCTCCAACTCCTGAGCTCAAGGGATCCTCCCACCTCAGCCTCCCAAAGTGTTAGGATTACAGGCATGAGCCACCATGCCTGGCTTCACTGTGAAAGTTTCTAGAGATCACTAATTAAATTATTTTCAAAAGAAGTTCAAAGTACAGTAAGTATATTCTTTTTTGTTTTACTCCTTTTTTTGATCAACATAATTTAAGTGTGCTGCAAAAGTTTAACTATAGGTTCAAGTGTGCTATGAGAGAAAAAAGGTTGAAAAACACCATGCTGAAGGTTTACTTAATTCCTTCTGACAGGATCTACTCCCTCACTACAAGTTTTTTGTTTTGTTTTGTTTTGTTTTAATAGAGACAGAGTCTCACTTTATCGCCCTCGGTAGAGTGCTGTAGCGTCACAAGTCCTGGGCTTAGGCAATTCTCTTACCTCAGCCTCCCAAGTAGCTGGGACTACAGGCGCTCACCACAACTGACCTGGCTATTTTTTGTTGCAGTTTGGCCAAGGGGTGGGTTCAAACACACCACCTTCAGTATATGGGGCCAGCGCCCTACCTACTGAGCCATAGGCACCACCCCCTCACTTTAAGTTTTATAGACCATTAGCTGCTCCTAACAATGCTGACTAGCAGGGGAGACTTCTGCTTTACAGCAATGAAATGCTGATGTTAAAAGGAGCTACCCAAACCTGCCAGTACCTGTGTCTTATGAATCATGGTTAGCCCCAGTGATGGGCACTAGCAACTACTAGATTGGGTTTTCACTGTTTACTTCACACCAGAAACTGGGAAGCAAGCAGTTAGGTGACTTCCTTAAGAATACATGGCTAATTATTGGCAGAGGGAACAGGTAAAGCAAAGCCTTTCCAGGCAACTTTCTATCACACTACTGATTTCCAAACCTTAGTCATTCAAGTTCGAGATTCTTTTTCTAGCTCTATAAAGCTAATGATTTTCTTTTAATCAATTCACTCTGGTTTTTACTTAAATTTATTTTAAAGGACACTTGAGGAATGACTACTGAGGATGTGGACACAACATGGCTTAACCTTAAATGAAATTTGCTAAATAAAAGTAGCCAGACCAAAGGGCTGTTAAGAGTTCCACTTATACATGTATGACACTGATAAAAAAAACTGTAGGTAGGAAAACAGATCAGTGGTTGCTAGGAGTTAGAACGTAGAGACAAGGTTTACTTATAAAAAGGGTAGCATGGGGGTATGTTCAGGGCAATGAACTGTTTTACACAGAACTATAGTAGTGGATATAACCATTCCATGCATTTGTTAAAACCAACAAAGTGAATGTACTGTATATAAATTTTTTTAAAAATCAACTAGGCTGTAGTGGTAAAGATGGAATGCAAATTGTGACAAATGATCTAATTCACAAATGAATCACACAACCCACACTGAAGGGAATGGAAGAAGTGTTTTGACTAAATGTAAGAGTAACCACAAAAAGAATTGTACATACACACATGTGCTCAAATGTAAAGACAGACAAGACACATACATACACATATACACACACACAGAGAAGCAGGAAGCTAGATTAACACAGGGCCTTCTGGGCCATGATTAAGACTTTTTTTACTTTGGGTAAGATGGGGGCCTCTGGAGGCTTTTGAGCAAAGGAATGATATGATCTTAGGTTTTATATGGACCATTCCAGCAGTTGTTTTGGGAATAAGTCAGGAGGCTGAGTTGATTGGGAGGAAGTAATGGCAGCCTCTGGTATTCTGAATAACCATTTACATACAGGGCACTGCTGGACAGGCCTTAACAAGGCCAGATGAGCCTGTGTGCTGACATCTAAAGATTGTTTATTCATTTCCAAGGCCCTCTGTTTTAGGAAACTGGACACTCCAAGGACCACAGCACCAGTCAAGGACTCAGTATACAAATGAATTTAGTGATACATTACTAATTATAAACTTAATCTAAAGTAAAAATACTTTGAAGGTATAACCATTTTAAGATGGGGGATATTGTATAACCTCATAACCTATGAGGGAAATGTTTGATATAAACCATAATAACCAATAACATTACTAATGCTTACTTTACCTTTCAAGGTATAAAACTAACAAAGGGAAATACGGGAGCAAAACAGCTCTCTGAGGAGATATCCTCGCTGTTCTCCAGAATTACTTAGAATAACAACTGCATCCTTTGGTGCTCAGGCTAAAAACTTTGGAATCATCCTTGACCTTTCTCTCATGACTCACATTCTAGTCCATCAGCAAATCTTCTTGGCTCTACCTCAGAGCTTCACACTTCAGCAATCACTGAATCCAATGTCAAGGAAGAATGAGGAAAAAGAAACTAAAATGTGAAGTCCTCAGTTGCAAGTAGAGATGGAGATTCACTACAGAAGCAGCGACTGCTGATGCCTCTCAAATAGCTTTCATGTGGCTTTTTTTTAATGCCCTGCTTTTAAGTATCTTTGAAAAGGTCTGGTGTGGAGCCTAACACCTGTAATCCTAGCACTCTAGGAGCCTGAGGCAGGAGGATCCCTCGAGCTCAAGAGTTTGAGACCAGCCTGCGCAGGAGCACGACCCCCCATCTCTACTAAGAAAAATAGAGAAATTAGCCAGGTGTGGTGGCAGGGGCTTGTAGTCCCAGCTACTTGAGAGGAAGAGGCAGAAAGATCACTTGAACCTAAGAGTTTATGGTTGCTGTGAGCTAGGCTGATGCCAGGGCACTCAAGCCTGGGCAACAGAGTGAGACTCGGTCAATAAATAAATAAACATGGCTCGGCGCCTGTGGCTCAAGCGGCTAAGGCGCCAGCCACATACACCTAAGGTGGCAGGTTCTAATCTCCAGCCTGAACTCGCCAAACAACGATGGCTGCAACCAAAAAATGGCCAGGCGTTGTAGCAGGCACCTGTAGTCCCAGCTACTTGGGAGGCTGAGGCAGGAGACTGGCTTGAGCCCAGGAGTTGGAGGTTGCTGTGAGCTGTGATGCCATCGCACTCTACCCAGGGGGATAGCTTGAGGCTCTGTCTCAATAAATAAATAAATAAATAAATAAATAAACAAATAAAATAAAAAAGGAACTTAAAAACCAAATAGAAAAAGGCAGGAGTCAAAAGGTAAAGAATCCTAAAGCCAGGCAGCACCTGTGGCTCAAAGCAGTAGGGCTCCAGCCCCATATGCTGGAGGTGGCGGGTTCAAACCCAGCCCCAGCCCAAAACTGCAAAAAAAAAAAAAAGAATCTTAAAACCTATTTCCACATAAAAAAGCTACATCTATTTCCACGTGTATGTATCATATGTTACAACGTACATCCATTTCCACATATATTTTACTTAAAAAAATAAATAGGAAGCCAATTCAGTTGACCTTACACACTAGCTAACAAAACTCTTCTTAGCAAACCAGCCAGACGCTCTTCACCACAGTGGCAAGAGAATAATGGAACACAGACCAGCCTATGCAGACCTGGAAGCAGACTCAGGAAAGCACTGGCTAATACACCCTTTGCCACAGCCTAAAATGGTTCTTCCTAATACTCTGCAGTCAGGACTTAAAAGGACTAGGCTGTAAACTTTAAGATACTTTGTTGTTTACCTAATTATCTCAATCTAATCCCTAGTTAAAAAAACAAAAACTATCAGCTATTTCTTCAGTGTAACATTGACAGAGCCTCAGTGTTTGTGAGTGTGCACTTGTGTACAGTCTTGGACATTAAAACTAAACCCTCTTGTTAGAGAAACGTACTTACTTTCAACTTTGCCCGTAAAAAGTTTACACTGACCTAAAGAAACAGCAGTCAAAATTCACACTACGTGCAGAAAATAGCTAATTTACTCACTTTAATAGGTGATATGGAATGCTGCAAGTGGAGCACTGTGAAGTAACC